TGTTCGGGTTTTTTCATCTTAAAAAAAAAGCGACATTAATTTCTTGACGAACTTAATAGTAATATTTCGAAAATGAACTGGATAAGATAAATGATATGTCAGTGACTTAATAGTAATATTTCGAAAATGAACTGGATAAGATAAATGATATGTCAGTGACTTAATAGTAATATTTCGAAAATGAACTGGATAAGATAAATGATATGTCAGTTGGAAATGTTTGTGTTCATATATTTATATGTAACACATTGTGGTGCATTTTGCAATCATAAAATATCAATTATTAATTGAAATGATTGTTTTGTAAAAAAACGCACAGGATAATACAGGTAAATTCGCATGTAAAACGAACTGTTACATAGCGGTATGTTATTCTGGAGCTAAATCTTATCAGAAGCAACTTTTTAATCATCTTCTGGGTCAAATTTCAGATAAAAACTATTGTCTACCAAATAATATTAATCTTAAGAATCTTATTGTGGTTATTAGGAACCTAATATTTCATCTACCAACTTGTCCTTTTTCTGTCATTAATCTAGATTGTTAATCAAGAGAGTTGAGTTGTCATCAGTTTTATTTTATCAGTTTAGCATTAAAATATATGAATATTTCAAAACATTTATGACTTTTTCCTAGAGTGTTTTCTATTAACTAAATAGGGGACCTATGTCAGTCTTGGTTGTTTTCTCCAGTTACTAACGTTTGCTTGAGAACTTTTGAGAAATCAGTGTCAGATAAAATACTTTGTAATGTGTTCTTTCAGTTCCAGTGTATACATTCTAATGTTGATTATCAATAAAAAAAATCAAAATACTTTGTAATGTGTTCTTTCAGTTTCCAGTGTTTACATTATATTGTTGATTATCAATAAAAAAATCAAAATATTTTGTAATGTGTTCTTTCAGTTCCAGTGTTTACATTATATTGTTGATTATCAATACAAAGATTTCCAGAGTTTTATAGTGTGTTTCTTGGGAGTCAATGTTAATTATAAAGTATGAACGTCATTACAAATCTATATTGATAAAAAAAAACACATTAGGTGCCAAAAATCGTATCACATTGTTGAAATAATCTCTGTGTTTTTATTAATTGCTTAACACCTACTAAACACAAATTATGATTTGAATACAAAAACTTGAAGTCTTAGAATAATTATTTTAAATCGTATTCTATGTATCGAACAAAAAATAAATCTGTACTTGCTTAGTTTTCTATTAATTTTTGTTTTGTATAAAATGTATAAATATCATTTATGGCTAAAAGGAACTGAAAATATTTTGGACATTTTATCTTAGTATAGGTATTGAAAATTTTCAAAAGTATTCTATAGGCTTTTGTAGGAGTGGAAATAGTTTCTTAAAGGTTCGTCAAGTTTAACTTTACTGTGTGCAACTCTGTCTTGAATACACTTGTTACAGTTGTATATAAATAAGATGACTATATTAAACCACTAGTTACACATGTATACAAACAAGATGACTATATTAAACCACTAGTTACACATGTATACAAACAAGATGACTATATTAAACCACTAGTTACACATGTGTATAAATAAGATGACTATATTTAACCACGAGTTACACATGTATATAAATAAGATGACTATATTAAACCACTAGTTACACATGTATACAAACAAGATGACTATACTAAACCACTAGTTACACATGTATATAAATAAGATGACTATATTAGACCATTAGTTACAGTTGTATATAAATGAGATGACTATATTAAACCACTAGTTACACATGTATACAAATATGATGACTATATTTAACTACTAGTTACACATGTGTACAAACAAGATGACTATATAACGTTTTAATTAATCTTTTATGAGTAAAATTGCTTCAATACGTGTAGGCTCAAACTTATGGTGTATCCTACTACTTTACATGAACCATATGATTACACTGGTTACATTTGTATTTGAGTAAGATTGTTTCAATACGTGTAGGTACTATCTTAAATAGAGTCTAGTTTACGAATACAATGATTGTTTCAATACGTGTAGGTCAGGGTTATAATGGTGTATTTTACTACATTACATGGAGTATTCTGAATACACTGGTTACACTCGTATGAGCAAGATTGTTTCAATACGTGTAGATTCAATATTATAATGGTGTATCCTACTAATTTACGCATATTTAAATTAAAGTCATTTCTATTGAAATTAATTTTATATTGAGAGTTTTATGATTGATTTGTATAACAATTATGTTGATACGTATTAATAATTATTCTTTTTACCATTTTTAATACAAAAATACCAAAAAGATAAATTACTCAGTGCGTTCGTTTTCCTCCTATAGAACTGGAAGAGTAATTAAGTAACAACAGTCCAGTTTCAGTTATATATATGTTTTCGTATGACTTTTCATCATGGTAGTTCGTACCATTCATGATAATCTTCTGGTCACGTGGCCTCTCATACAATTTACTCTGTATAGTGAAGCTAGTGTTGCAAGAGATTTGTTTCCATACGATACAAGATATACTATAATATCTGATGCACATTTTCCAAATCTCACATTAATCAGTAGGTGTATAAATCTGTGTTAATCTATAACGTGAGTTTTCTGAGATCACATTACAAAACGTAAGAAAATGAAATAAGCTATATATGTTGTACATGTATATATACAAATATATGTGCACACCACATCAATTCGAAACGAATTCAGTAACTACTGAAAATAAAACTGATATTATGAGATACACTTTTCGTTTTACAGGCATACACAGGTGCACACCACATCAATTCGAAACGAATTCAGTAACTGCTGAAGATAAAACTGATATTACTTTTATAACGCATGAAATGTGACAAAAGTAGATGAAACTGAATAATTTATCAATTATTAAGAGCTATGCGTCTATAAGTGTCATGTATTACGTGGATATGCGTCTATAAGTGTCATGTATTACGTGGATATGCGTCTATTAGTGTCATGTATTACGTGGATATGCGTCTATAAGTGTCATGTATTATGTGGATATGTGTCTATAAGTGTCATATATTATGTGGATATGCGTCTATAAGTGTCATATATTATGTGGATATGCGTCTATAAGTGTCATGTATTACATCTGAAAGTTTATTGCACATTAATTGCTAAAATACACGTACCGTTTTTTGTTTATATTGAATGTCACATTATACACATATCACCATTTTGTGTATTAACTATATTAAGATTCATCTGCTTCTTTGTTGTTTATACTGAATGTACATGTATCACTTGGTCGTGTGTATTAAGTTTCACATTATACATGTGACACATTGTTGTTTATATTTAGTGTCTGAATGTGTACGCACTATTTTGATCTGTATTTTTAAATGACACATCATTCTTCATGTTAAACGGCTACTATTTACAAGTCATTTTGTTGTGGTTATTGAACGTCTTGCTAACTGACATACTACACTGAGGGGCATGTTAAACACGTCTTTTTATTGAATGTCATACTTCATATATTTCACGCTGCTTGTATGTTAAATATACTAAAGACAAAACTTTCATTGTACTTTTAAATACAGCACTATATGTATGTGTTCTTGTGTTATGCATACTGGATATATATTTTCAGATGGTCAGATTAGGAGTATTTAAAAAGAAAATATTTACTTGCACATAGATTAATAAAATCACATTTAGTCTTGTTGCGTCAAATATGTGAAATTGTTTTATCCTTTTTGTCTCAGTGAACGAGAAAATAACTTTCCTGTGTTTAAATCATTATCGAATCTGCATGATATAACACGTGATTTCCATTAATAGATCAAAGTTAATGATTTAGTTAAATTAAGAAATGAGTGAAACGTTTTAGCATAGCTTCAACCATCTATTATACCATCTTCAACCATCTATTATACAGAAATAAATCGTATTGCGGTGCATGCTATAGACTTATATGATATAAAACTTTCATATTTTTAGGGTAGTTTATGTAAAAGGAGTTTTTTTATAAACATCCCAAACACGCATATGCAATATTAGATAGAAATTTGACATGACTGTCTTTTTTTTCTTCTTCTAATAATAGTAAAATCAGCTTAAAACCTGGACACTAAAGAAGAACAGTCGAGAAATTCTTGAATATTAAATATTTAACCCATTCTACTACGGATTGATTTTTCATATTCTTGAAATGAATGAGCTTTATTTTGTTTACTTCTTTGATAAACTGGTGAATGGTCATCAGATTAACTAACTACCTGTACTGGAGAACCTTGCCGAGTAAATCCTGTATAAGATATTCACCATTTCGGCCACTTAAAGTTTGAAGAACGGTTTGACAGGCTTCGGTTACTTTAATGAAGCCATTGATGTGTTGCTGGAGATGCCAATCATCAGTAGGAGCCCACGTAAAGTAGAATTGAAGGAGTGACAGCTGTAGTGGTATTTAGGAACGTGCAGGTGTGGGTACATGCAGAACGCTACCCCCCATCATCTTCGTCCTACTATTGTAGCAGATGGTGATAGCCTGGTTCGAACCGTTGGTTCTCAAAGTGTTGTATGTCCTCTGCAACGCCCGTGGGGGCAAGTGACACGCAGGTTGTGATAGATGACCTCGTGCAAGCTTCCAGGAATTTTTGTTTAGGCTCATTTAAGGTTTTCCGTCCGCTCTCAAGGGGCGGAGACGTTGCTGTCCATGTCGATTTTTTCAACTTAGATGGCGATTTGGTTTACGTCGTTATTTGTACGAGGCAGTTGTTATTTGATAATTGAAGATAAAAGCACTAATCTACCATTAGCTGATTTACGTGTAACCAGCCAATCAGAACATAAAACTAGGCCAAAGATGAACAGTACAACCACAGTGTATATTTTATGTAAGTTTCGAAATACATACATTCTACTTCAGCATATTCGTAGAGAAAATACAAAAATAATGATTACAACTAACACTATGAATGAAGAAAAATAAATTGTACAACGATATACGTTTATTAATTGGAATACTGAAATATTTGCTTACTTTAGGGGAAACCATACTGGGCTATCTGCTGTGTTCACCGCGGAGAATCGAACTCAGAACTTTAGTGTTGTAAATCCGTCAACTTACCACTAATCCAGCAGGGAAACAGTACTGAAGGAAGGAGGAGGAATGGGTAAAAACTAGCACATGAACTTGGATATAGACCTACAATAAATAAATACTTCCGTTGATCAGTGAGTATCCAGTAGTATCATTGTGTGTGGATTATTATAACCTTTGATCCTAGCAAGCTACATGTATAGATCAGAACTAAAACATATGTCTAATAACTAACGTAGCTATTTAAATATAATGTTCAAACTATAGTAGAGGCATATGGAGATGATAAGAAGTGGACAATTCTGTAGGAAATCCCATATGTTCATGGATATGTACAACTAAACATCGCTTGGTTGCAGCTACCACACATGAATATGAATAAATAATCCATGAACGAAGTGGGAATCGGTATGTAGTCACTTAAGATGAAAAAATAGTCCATTAACATATACAAGCACGGTATTTAGTTAGCTCAAAACTTATGTTCTTAGTCATTGAAACAGTGTGCCTCTATAACAAAGTTATACGTTATTTAAAAAATGTTAGGGATAAACCACTAACTGGTAATGAACGGATCCTGAGATTTTAAAATAGATGCATATATATGATCTGTCCGCAACAAACTAATTTAGATGTTCACTTTGTCAACATGCTTAGAAGATCGCTAACTGAAATACATAGCAATTAAATCTGCAAATTCTTAGACATGAAGAAAAACAAAATTTGCCTGTTCAATTAAACAGACGTACTTAAATCATTGTGCTAATTCCTATAATAAGATATATAACCCTTTACTTATTTTTTGTTAAATACACATAAACTAATAGGTTGTCATCCATTAATTAAAATGTTTATGCAATAGCAAGTGATTGATTGACTCGGTGTTCTTGTTGAAATGGATTTTACATTTAATCGTTAGACCATTAGACAAGAGACATCGGGTTTTCGATTTTCAACTCAAATAAAGAAAGGCAGTTGAAAATTGATCGGAATCATACTTGATTGTTTCAGAGTGTTGGGTGTGTATTCGAGGGCTAGTAGTGCCAATCATTTTTACTCGCCAGTTCAGTTCACACCAAAACCTGTCTTTATCTGCTTGTCATGCACTATGGTTTTTATTCAATTGCTAATCACAACCCTAGGAACAGTTCACACAGTCACAGAACATCTTGTTCTAAGGCTGTACTCAATCAGTTCTATCTACCAATCTATTTACGGTGTTAATATTTATGAATCTATGTATGATTAACCTATTGACTGTATACTATAACACTTATCAAGGAGATACGATTAAGAGTTGTATTTAAAGGACTACCAGACAATATTAAATATGATCTATATATGTAATCAGTAATTAAGTGCCTACATGGAAGTTCTTTGTATTATATCAAGACATCTTCCACAACATTTATATCTACTTTTTAAAAAGCTAAGTATGATTATATAACAACAGAACCGACTTAAGAGTAGTAACAACTCATAGTAGCATATTTAATATGGGAAGAAGCGTCTGTCAAATTAAAACTGTGTAGATAATTATCCGTGTTCTGTGTATGTTTTAAACTGTACTCATTGATAATTGTATTATAATTTATGATCTGTGTATTTTTAAACTGTACTAATAAATAAATGTATTATTCCCCGTGATGTCTGTTTCTTTAATTGCCCACTTATGTGTATCATTCTCCGTGGTGAAAGAAAAAAACTGTTCATGTTAATACATTGTATTACTGTCCACGACGTGTGTTGTTAAAAGCTATGCCCATCATTATGTATATTGTTCTTTGCTATCTGTGTTTAAAAGCTATGCACCTACGTGTATCATCCATCCTCTGTGTCTGTATTAAGAAAAACAAACTCTAAACACGTTATTATATGTAATATTATTCATGATCTGTGTTTTTAGCCTCTTTAATAGGCCCGACATGGCCAGGTGGTTAGGGCGCTCGACTCGTAATCCGAGGGTTGCGGGTTCGAATCCCCGTCACACCAAACATGACAAACCTCTGCCTTTGCCTGGTCCCAAGTCCAGGATGAAAAAGCAATTCCACCCCGTAAAAAACCAACCTGCTACAAGTAACCACAACAACAACTTCCGTTGGTGAAGTGTTGTTGCGGCCCTATGCTCCACTGGGAGTTTACAGGAATAAATAAATAATAGAATCAATATCTTAAAATTTCTAATATTAATTCTTTGTCTACATAAGTTATGAAAATCTAAAAGGTAATATACGGTCAGTTGTAGCAGTTAAACTCATAAGCATAATGAAAAAGCAGATGTAATGTATATATTTTTTAAACAAGGCTGGAGATACTGTAGACAATATTTACCCAAACTACAAATCCCTATTTTGACACCAAATGTAATTCTAGGTAACAGCATGAAACCAAAATAGGGTTTTGTAGTTTGAGTAAATATTTTCTACAGTATCCTCAGCCTGGTTTCCTTACTTTTTTACGATTCCTATTTACAGATTTTTAAATTCCCATTTTTTTATTTAACTTGTTAATATAATTGTCTCTAAACTACTAGAGTACAAACGTGAAGAAAATATGGTACAGCAATTTGAATTAATATTTGAACCAGGTGACATGTAAAAGTAACGTGTATTTATTAGACCTTTTGTAGCAACTACAAATTTGAAATATGCTGTATATAAATATGGGGATCTTGGAAAGAAAGATCGTAATATTTATGAGCTGCTTTACTACAGAGGACAAATCATCTGGTGCTGTGAAGAAAACTTCAATGTTGATTAATTTACTTTCCTCTTTAATAAATCGCAATAAACCTAAGTATTATAAAATTGCTTTATATAGGAAAGAAGTAAAAACTATTGATTATTTATATATATGGGGATAAAAAAAAATCTTTTGAAAACTGAGAATGTAGAGTTTTGAGTGTCTTTCTGACGTAAAATATATTCGTATACTCAAATCATAAAGATATGTCCATTGTACCTAATGCCATTAGAAAACAAAGAAATGTGGATCAATTTGGGACACCAGGACTATTCAGAAAGAGGCCTGCCGTGGTAGGCAAAGCGTAGCGTCTTGTAATAGGGAAAAACCATAAATACAAAGGTCAGTAGCAAAAGATGTCCACGTGCTCAAAGCAACAATACGCAAAATAATTAAAAGAATATCCGTAGCTAAAAAGCAACATAAGTGACTTTTGCATAAGTTACTTCCACTGCATTCTGTTCAATCATTGCATACCTCAAGAAGCTGGAAAATGAAATAATCTGAGTGTATGAATATCTTGCGTCAGAAAGTGCTGTCACATGCCTTTCCCAAATGCGAACAATTTCCGGTGGCATAACACTATGTATGTAACATAAAACAATGTAAAAATGTATTTCTGATACGATATGTTCCATAGCGACTTTATATTGGTTGTAGTTGTCACGTTAATTACTGATTTACATATTCAAATACGTTTTAACATAATGTACAAAACTTTCTGTAAACAGCGGAACATTGAAGCTTATGTGCTGCTAAACTAATAACGAAAACTTGCATCTTTTTCGACTTGAGATGAAAAACAAAACAGCCTTTATCTGTAATTCTTTTGAAATGCCACATAGAAGAGTAGCAAGTCTGGGTATAAAGGATAAAAGAACCCCCCCCCCCCCCCCCCCCCCAAAAAAAATCTGCAGTAAAAAAAAAAAGTTGTACAACTAAACAAACGCTAATGAAAAAGAAAGTAGTAAACTACGAAACACGCTAAGGTGGAAGTAAGGTAATGAAGTTGTAAAAGAAGCAGTAAAACAAGAACACGTGAAAATCAAAAAACGAAGTTGTAAAAGAAGAATCACGCTAATTATAAATAAATGATAAACAAAAAACACGCCAATTAAAAATTAATTATAAAATAACAACATGTTAATAAAAAAGAGGTTGTAAACCAAAATTTTCGATAATAAAAATTAAACCAAAAACTCGCTAATTAAAATGAAATAGTAAACAAGAAATATGCCAATCAGAAGGAAACATTCACACCAAGTAACACACCAATCGAAAAGTAGTAGAGAAACAAAAAACATACCAATCAAAATACAAAGTAGTAAGAAAATAAACATGTCAATTGAAAAGTAATAATAAACAATGAATAAGGCAATAAAAACGAAACAATAAGACGTCAATCAAAAATAAGTAGTAAACAAGAAACAATTAAATAAGAAATAGAACAAAACAACAACAACAAAATACGGTAACATAAAAATAAAAAGAGGAAGAAACACGCCAATCAAAAAGAAATAGTAAGCAAGAAATACGTCAATCAGCTAGAAATGATTAAACAATAAACACGCCAGGTAAAGAATTAAACAAAAATAATCAGTAAAACAAGAAACACATCAATAAAACTAATGCACAAGGTTCACAAACCGAGTGATTAACATACAAACACGCAGTTGAATTAACCGAAAAGGCTGGATGGAAGAATGGAAGCTAGAAGATAAAGCTAAACTAAGAAAAGAAAGGATTTGCAAATGGATGAATGAGCATCCAAATGGACTGACAAAAAAACAATTAAACCAATTGGTAATATATATATATATAGTTTGAAGACTGAGTTAGTGGATTGAATACATAAAAAATAGAGAAACAAAGATGTAACAACTAGATGGAATGATTCAAATAAAAAATCTCAATTGGGCCGATGTTCAGACAAATAGAAGTTTGTTTGTTTAATTGAACAACACTTTATACACACCGTGAACAAAACAGTCACTAATGTTCAAGCAAGCCATCCCTAATTTTGAAATGTAGACCTAAGCCTGTAACGACTATCTTTTAACTATCACTCTTATAACGCATCCACGGATAAAAATTGTAGGCGAAGTTCGACAGCACCATCTGTTGAGCCAGAGACATTCGGATCCCGAATCTGAAACGCTAACCATTAGGCGCACAAAAAAGAAAGAGATAATAGTGAACTAATAGAGATAGTAAAGTTAATGAGCTGAAGAAATACAGACAAACGGAGAACGAGAGTTATGAATAGAAAAAATGTTATAAAGAAAGGATAAGCTCAAAATTAAATAGAAAAGTAACAACAAACTGGAAGAGGAGGGAAGAAAGATGAATGGGCTATTGGTTGGGAAATTAAATTTCTAGGTTGAGTGAGTAAACGGAGAGCTAACTAACTAGACAGGTTGATAGTAGGGGTGATTTACTTAGCGAAATCACGGACAAATTCTAAGGGCTATTATTTATTAGTCTTACGATATTTAAAGCTGACGTAAAATACATTTTTCGTAAAAATAAAGTTCACTTTAACCACCAATACGCAACTTATTACCAAAATTTAAGTTGAAAGTTAGAATTATTCCTTTAAATTTAGATTTGTCTTTCTTTTATCTCTCATATTTTGATACAACATTCTAATAAATGTGTCTGAACTCATAATTAATTTAATTCCTTATTGGACTATTGAACTTTAACATTCAAGAAACACTTTTGGAGATGAAAAAAAATACGTTGCATATTGTAACAGTAACATTAGAGAATAGTTTTCATCGTGTTTTTACAGAATGTTAAGTTGCTTGATTTATAGTCCATTGATATGTTAAATAGATAAGCAGTTAAAATATTACCTCGTTTATGTATAAAGGTAATATGATAAAATTAAATATTCCCTCGTTAAAAATGTATTTCTATATAACTGTAAACGAGTTCTTTTATACATCAAAAGGACCAGTTCCTATACAGAAAATTTGTCAATAACGAATCAGTTCCAACAACTGTGCTCCTAACAACATATATGTTCCTAAAAAAATAACAACAAAGAAACAACATATGTGTCCTATGCCATACTTTATCAACAACTGGCTACGTACAACAAAGAAACAATATATATGTCATATACCATACTTTATCAACAACTGGCTACGTACAACAAAGAAACAACATATATGTCATATACCATACTTTATCAACAACTGGCTACGCACAACAAAGAAACAACATATATGTCATATGCCATACTTTATCAACAACTGGCTTCGTACGCATCTTTTTACGACTGCCATGTTGAATATAAACTTCGACGTTTTGTCTAATCCTTATATTTGAAAACAAAAAGGAATAAAACAAACAGTTCGATACGAGCTATAGGAATTATTAACATAGATATCTTTTCAATGCGAAATATGTTTCTATGGTTAAAATATACAAAGTTCTAGAATAAAAGACAATGGGGCATTATAAAGATTACTTATGTTTGCAACGATATTTCTATTATCAGAAAAGAACACAGCTGAAACATGATACATAAGTGATGTCCAAGGATGCGTGTTTCTTTCTTACGTTGACATGAACACATCAGAGCGACCCGCGTATGCTCTTTGTCACCTAGTCTATATAAAACTAGGTCATTTGCTTCAACAGTAATTTATATATAGTAATTATACTCGCTCCTTAACGCAAAAGGTGTGAAACGCTTACTTTATTCTATTTGTTGTTGTTGTTTGTGAGCTGTAGACGTTTCTATGACAACTGATATACTCGGTTTGCAGTTGTTAAGTTTTTTTTTTTGTCACGATTTTTTTGTGTCGTACAACAATACTTATAACTACACATATGAATGGTAACATTCTTGTTTTGAACTATGATTCCAAGGTGAATTTTGGAA